CACGCGAGATACGCGTAAGTGAGCGTGCTCTGAGATTTGTAACAATGTAACCAACTCATAAGAGAGCCGGCCTCGAGCTATTAATCAATCGCTCCGGTTCGTATTTTTAGATCATGCGAGCGTAATAGCCTGCAGCCAGATCACCGATCTGTCCATGAAGAGCTCTCTTCGACAGACAGATTCAACTACTTTTCATCGTAGCAATTAACATGGGAGTCATTGACATTACAAATTGAATATAATCAAATGATTAAAAAATTGCTGTTTCCTTTATATCGCCATTTCTTTCTACAGAAGCCTAAACTGAAAATCCAAAAATTTCAAGGTAAACCCTATTTTATTAAATGGAAATAAAAATAAACTTGAAATTACCACATTAAATTAATAATTCACCTAATAACAAAAAATAGGCGTGCACCTACAAAATTGTTATCGTGAAAATTGTGCCCTGAATAAGTTTACGAGTTGTTTGCACGCAATGCAACTACCAATTATTTTACACTGTTTCCCTGAAATTACTATGTAGGTATAAAACAGGCTCATATCGTATGCCTTACATATTCCGTCGACCAAAATTTATGCCGGTAGAACGAAGTGTTGCACGGTTTCCGTGAAAGTAGGCAAACTATATTAAATGTGTAATTAAATCAATTGCGTAAAATGGTATGTGCAAGACATGTTCAGTTTGGAATGCAAGTTGCCACAGTAAAATAATCAACACCTCAGAACTCGATAAAACATTTCTTTCAATTTAATGAAGTTTCCTTTTTTCTTTTTTACTGTGGTGATAAAATCAATACGATTTAAAATAAAATAGATAAAAAAAATTAAACATTTATTCTGCATAAATACTAATGAGCTAGACTATAAAGTAATAATTTAAGAAATTAGAAAATTACACAGGTACCATAAGAAATTATTATATAAATATATTTTTTTCTTTAAACTAGCTGCAATGGTGGCAAAACTAAGGAACACTTTTCCAAATAAGTACAGTTCGCACTAAAAAGTCTCGAACAGGACTTTAGATTCTATATTCTAGAAAACCGTGAGCCATGAAATCCTTAAGATTATTACTTCGAACCAATCCAATCATTAATTCTGTCGCAATCCATAAAAGTCAGATTCAATAACTTATAACGTAAAACGCGAGCATCGTAAATTTTCTTACCAGAAGCTTATAATAACATTCGTCGTGAATATTCATTATCGTTATAAAACCCTAGCGACCAGTAGTAGAAATCTAATCACAGACTCAATATACTTTTATTATACTAATAATTTATTTGTCTGTTTGTGAAAATACCAGGACAGAATGACTTATATATAATTCTATTTTAACTAAAAATTATTCTCTTCCTCACTACATAGGTCCTAGAAAGACCAAAGAGGATTTTTACAACTGTCATTTAACTCTTTTTTATCGAACGAATTGACACGGGGGTGACTTACATCACAAATTTAGTACAATAAATAATTAACTCTAGAGTTCCTTGTTTCGGGTAACAAGGGTGGACCTGGCCACCCCCAAAAAAGGGACTGGCCCCCTCACCATTCTAAGATGGTTCTGACCCACCCTAGTTATGCAAATGGAATTGCTAAAATACCCCAATTCCTGTAAGATAGCTATCAAGAAAATCACAGCAATGTTTTCGTCGCCATTTCAATGATAAACGCGATACAGTGCTCGACAATGCAACACGTGTACAGTAGCGTAACAAGCTCATTATCCTCGGGGTGTTGTCAATGTTATACTCGATTGCCCTTTGGCTGTGCACGGTGTACCTCATGTCAAGACATTTTTCTTTTTACCAGACGTCATTAATCTCTGCTCCAAGTGGTTAGGAATGAACTTTCGCTATTTAGTTTACGCGTTTCGAGCTGCACGCGAGTCGGTCGTTTTCACGCGCGTACACGCGGCGAGGATAGGACATTACCAAGCCGAGAAAACGAACCGCAAGAAATACGATGTCAGAACGCGGCGTATAACACGCTAATTATTTCTGCTACTTTTTGCTCTACCGAGTACGTGTGCATATTTTTTATTCACACGCTCGACGCACAAAGAATTTTATACGTTTTACCACCTACAGCGAAACGAAATCTTCATCATTAATCCTCGGACCGATAATGATAGGGCTCTTAGCAAAAAATAAAAGAGTTAATGTATGTGGTTAGTGTTTTTATCCGCTCGTTTCTCGGTGTATTTGATTTGAAAATGATCTTAGCACACGCCAGTTTGGATATTCGATAAGTTATCGATATCTTATTGATATTTAACCCTTTCGCTGCGGTCGTTTCTACTAAAAACTGTATTCATACCTTTCTATATCAAATTATCTAATTTGATATTCTGGAGTAAATGCAATAATTTTGTTTATAAAATTTCATCTGTAATAAGAAATCCTTAAATCAAGCGAAATTGTATAAATCAAGTGAGATTATCCATCTAATTTTAATGTTAAATTATATACCCTTTAAAAAATAAATCGGTGCAAATTGCATCATTTTTTAAATCATTTTAGATCATTTGCTTAAGTTTCATTGAAATTGGTGAATAAGGGTTCACGATGTTCCCTCGGACATAAGAAGATTACTAACGCTTAAGTATGATTGATGCGACTCCCAGACTCGCGAATGAAAAATGACCTCGCATCATTCACCGGCAGCATATATCATAATAAAGCAACAGTTTTGTCAGTTTCTTTGTAGTTCATTAGTGGAGCGGTTATAAAGATGTTAAGCGTCACGGGGTTCTCTCTGTTATAAGTGATATTATGACGAACGAAACATAGACCGGTTAATCTATTTATAATGATCGGCTCGTGCAAACAGTAGGCAGGTAACTTAACAAATTATACTTCCACTCTGTTCGCACCTGCTCGACTTCCACACCGTTGTGAATTTCATTCGCGTCAGTCAAGAAGAAAAACGGGGGGGTTGATCGTGTCTGGTCATTATGTCACATTTAATGATCACGATTCTTATCCAGAAAAAGATCTCTTCGAGAGATTATTCAACCGTTTAAATTTAATACTACGAGCGTATCTATCAATATCGATACATAGTGTTCGAATGATTCGTCGAATATATTCCTATGTGATTATATTTATATAAGATTTTTTCTAAATTTCAAATATTTGGAAATTATATTTACTTGAAATTATCAAATATTTAATTTCAGAATGATATATAATTTGCTCTTCATCCAAGACAACAAAATAATTGCCCTACAAGCACTGTGTTTCTCAAATCTGATAATTTCTTTATATACACTCCACTTTTCAGTTTCTTTACACATAAATAAAAAGGAAGGAAATTGTAAAAAGGGAAAATCCTACCTTGATATCCGGTGTAGATTCTGTCGGACAAAATCAAGAATAAGCCCGGATCTTCGAGCGTGGAAAATCCAATGATATGTGACCTACACAACACCCACAGTCACGATTAGAAAGGACAACTTTCTTTGAGTGAATACACTTCATCGACGCGTCGCGTCGTTTTCAAAGGAATTTGTTTACCATGGTAAACTTATTCACGGTCACTTTTACACTATAGAAACAGAGAACAACGAATCAGCTCCGATGATCCCAAAAATGAATGAAAAAGTTTCGAGACATAAGATACTCGTAAAAATTAATAAATGAATTTGTAAATGTGATGTACAATCAAAACTGAATAAATTAATAAAAGAAAAAAATGAATTTGTGAAAAGAAATAATTTACTTGTAACTAATTATGATGTAAAAATGAAAAATCATTACTTCCGTGCATCACTACAGAAGTAGAGTGAAATATTAGAAATACTACTGACAAACAATAATATTGACCTATACTACTGAAATTCCCTAACGATAGGATGGGCGTCCACTTGAAAGTAAAACTCGTGGGAAAAGCCATCAATAGCATTTTTTGTAAGTGGACACCGAGCTAAAAGTGATTATTAACATTTTCATAACATTTACTTCATTTATAATATTTTGATGAGTACCATATACCTCTAAATTTTTCAATCCTTTAAATCACGTCCCGTTGTTCTCAGTGTATTTGATGCATCAATATCTTCCTGTTGATGATACGTGATATCTTCGGGTGATGAAACGAGAGGCTTGGAGCCACTAAAGGATTAGTTTTCAAAATCTTCGAGCACGACGACTTTGTAATGTAACCGACGACAGGTGAACAGAACATTTTTCTAACAAACCACGGAAAATCTTAGATGCAACAAAATTGGCAGTAAAACGCGAAATTATTTGGCAGAAAGTGTGACTGGACGAACCGAGCCAATTGTTTGTTAAGAGACAACCGGAAATATCTCTGCGTAACGATTTGAAAGTTTAGGACTTCCATGTTCATCAGCCAATTGCGAGATAAAAAATGGAAAATATCTTCCAACTGTTGAATTGCCAGAATCTAATTTACGCTTGTTGCAAAACTGTTCAAAATACTTTTTCTTCGTTAATATAGCTGAACTTTTCTTTAAAAGATCGAAATAAACAAGTGTGAGATTCATTGAAAAAAGATTGTTGAAAATTTTCAAATAGGCAATAAATATATGATAAACGAAAGAATTTCTTCCAAGATGGTATCCCATCGTGATCTTTTCGAGTAGAACATTTGTAATGCTAAAGAAAGAAAAATCTAAATTATTTTTCTTGTTTTAAACATGTTAAAATTCTGAAATATTAGGATATGTGCCATAGGTTGCTTTTAATCGTACAGCATTTGAATTATATATAACTTGTTAAAACTTACTTAACATTGTATTATTTTTAAATAAAACAGGAATGTAAATAGAAATCTATTGCTATTAACTTATATTAACCACTACAGGGCGGACCATGGAGAGAGTCCCAATTTTTTAAAATTTTTGTTTGCTTTAGATAATAATAACTAAGAACAGATTGTACAACGTTAAATAAGTTTAAATGAAAGAGTTTTGGATGAACATATTAAAATATAATTTTTAGAGGTAAGAAAATCAAAAATAAATTATTTACCCTCCACTATGCGCCTCATAGCCTCTTCAAGATTACCCCCAGCATCTTTCAAAATGACGTACATCAATGGTAGCATTTCCCAAGGATATTGGAAGAGTTCTAGAAGCTTGGTACTATATTCCAGCATAATTTCCACGGTGTCACCTGAAACATTAAACAGTACAAATGTAGTACCTGTAAATTTTATTCCCTTGCCGTTCTACGACGGAGAACTATTCTAATTTTGTTACTTGAGAATGATTTTAATGGAAATAATAAATGTCAAGGTTGCATGTATTCTACGCTTCTTCTGAAAACGTTCCAAATTCAAATTATGACACGAACATTGCCAATTTAACATTTAAGTATACACTGTCATACTTACAATTAGACTATGTAGCTAATCTTTAAAGCGATAAACGAAATTCATTTGCAAAAAAAAATTAAGTATTTCTATTAATCATATTTTGTATTTTACTGCTTTTCAATTCCAAGAGCTACTGAAAGGTAGAAATTATGTACAATTACTAAATTGATTGATTAATAAGAGGGGAAAGTCATTAAAATTTAACGACTTAAATACTACAATTTTCTGCTATGACAAATATTTTCAATTTTTCAAGACGTCATTCATATGCCAGTATAATTTTCAATATTACAAAATTATGGCAGGTACATTCAATTAACCACGTCAGCCGTGGACGTACGGAATGTTGCAAGCATAGCTGTCTCTTAAACGATTAAATACCAATTAATAAGCATGAATTTCACAGGCGAGCAATCACTCAAATTGAACAAATGGCAAACCCTTGGACATCGAGAGCATTTAAGAGAACATGAAATGCAGACCGCATCGATGTCCTGAATACATAAAACAAAATTTCATGGTATTGCAAAAAGGTAACAATAACCCCTTTTTTTTCATGTGTAATGATACATCTGTCCCGTTATCTGTAACTGAATCGGACTTTCTCGTAACTTTCTAACACCTGTTACATTCGAAGAGCGAATCGAGAGCAACCAGTAAAAGGGGAAATTGTATTGACCTGCGAAAGGTATAGATGCTCATGTACTCGTATCTGTAATAGAAGAAAGTATAATGATCCTATAGATTTGTGAAACAGGTCCAACAGATTGATACCTTAACGTTATCGTCTACTGTTAACATAAGAAGCATTGATATGGAGCATGTTCAGTATGAATATCTATCATTAGAGATATAGTTATTAACCTCGATTAGGGGTGCCAGCACACCGAAAATTCGGGGTGGATTAATTAAGGTTGGGAATTTTTTTTTCGATACCCAAATATCAACTCGGGACCCCAAATTTAATTACACCCGATTGTAGTATACGAAAACACTTTCAAGCTTAAAATATTAAGATAAATCTAAAAAATGATGCCTCGAAAGTAGCGTCGGCTCCCGGAATTGAGTTTCGAATTTCATTGACTATATCTATACCCGAAAGCGGGGTGCATGCGCGTGTAAACGGGGGCGTTCCTAACGGGGAATTATCGAACCACTGCTACACCGTTCTCCATTTTTCTCCCATTCAAACTGCCATCGCCCCTTCATACAAATGGTTCTCAAATAAGGGGAATCAACCAGTCAAATGTCAATCCAAGATCAATAAATCACATGCTGATATATTCATTATGCACCACGTGAATTTCACTTGCACCTCCAGGGAATCTTATCGAAAAAAAAAAAGAATAAAAGATAATGGCGCATGCTCAAGCGTCGCGTCGCGAATCTACCTGGAATCTACCTGGTAAAAATCGATTTCGCGTAATCAACGACTCTAGTTGTCACTGGAAAAGAGAGGGGCGGGAGGGTGGGGGGGGGAGGGGGTGAAACGTTGGACGGAGGGGTGGTTAGTTCCAGGAAGTGAAATAGAACCGTGATGGTTTGCGCGAGCGAACCCCGGGGAAGGACAATAATTCCCCGGCCGTTATGACATGGTATATTAGACATTAAGGCAGCCAATGGTGGCGTGTTTGCTCGGCGCAGCTCCGCCTATAAGGGGCCTTCTGGAGCGTTTTTAAACGGCGGAAATAGCCCTCCCCTCTGCCGCCCTTCGTTCCTCTCCTGCTCTCCTCTCTTTCTGCTCGCTAGCCTTTACCACCACTCTCTCCTTTAACTGGCGGCTCTCTTTCCCGTCAAGACCGGGCTCTCCCTCGGCCGCTGCCATCTCCCTTTCGTTCTCTATCGAATAGACAACACGACGCGGAGTGCAGGTGCCACGCCGCGCGCCGCCGGGACGCCCAACGTTGTTTCCCTCCTTTTCCGTATACAGGTGAACCCGGCCAACCACGTGCTCCGTACACGCGCGTATGGGTACTGTCTCTACGAACCGACTGCCACGTTCGTACAGGACAGAGATGAACGTATTGCGCGAACACGCCAGCGGGACAGAGATAGAAATTTAGAGAAAGAGAGAGATAGGCTGTTGGAGGCACTGCCTTCTGACCGGAGGAGGGCTATTCCGACGATAGAGAGAAAGAAAGAGAGTTCTAGCCGTTCCTTTCAATTCTATCCTGTCCTCAGCCTCCTCCACTACGCGGCCGACATCACGGAATCATCTTCCGTCACTTTTCACCTACCGAACTCACCCCCGTTTTTCGGATTCTACTTATCCTTAGTGGGATCTCTATCCATTCTTGCGAGCTGAGATGAGACACGACCAATCAGACGTGAATTCGTTCAAAGTCTCAACTTAGCAGATTAGGATAATTGAACGAATGATTTAGTACAGGAAGGATCAACAAGTAGCTATTTAATCCCCGAAACTGGAAATACTGGAAATGAGTGCATCTGATAATTCTCTGTTACAAGCGTCCATTCTCTCACCTAGATAGCCAATGAATCTTTAACTGTGTCACATAAACGAACGAACTGTGAAGAATGCATGCAGACCCGATAATTTCCCGTTACCTAGAAAGTCGCACCTCTGCAGCTCCGAAAGCGAGAAATTATCGAGGAAATTATCTGCAACGTGTTGAATTATCAAAGAATAATTTCTTCTAAATTGCTATAACGCGTCGGATTATTCGTAAGAAAACTACTTACATAATCGTTCCACTGCACGGTCAAACATTGTACAACTACCATGAGTATGCACTTGAAAATGACACGTGCAACAGTCACGATACGGATGTCGCCGACGATCCCGTGTAAGTTTGTCTTCTATTGCAATTTTTTTCCAACTATCTATCCTGATAATTAAATCCATCGTTACACAAGCTTATCTATGACTCATTTATTATACCGTGCTGATCGCCTAAACGTCGCTGCGTAATGTTTTTCATTAACACGTAGCGGAACTTATTAAAAATATAATTTTTGGAATTTTATTTGTTTAATAAAATATTATGCTACAATTAGGTATTTTAAACCATTATTTGATGTGAAATAGAAAATTAAATTAAAGTCATGGCTCTCTTCACGGTCCGCCGTCCGAGGGTTAATCTCGCAACGAGACGTTAAGTATTGTAAATACGTCCAGATATAATTATATTATAAAAATAAATTTATTTCTTATCGTATCTATAAAGAGCTTATTTTATATACAAAATATTCTTTACTAATTTCTCTTCAAGTCACTCTTCAGATTACTTTATCCGCTATCTCCCGATTAGACCGGTTAATCAAGGTTCTAATCAACTGTACAAACGGGAACTGGATATTCTGCTGATTGATACTATTTGAAACATTAAGGAAATAAATAAAGGAAATGCTACCGAACGGTTTAACAAACCGCATGTTGTATTTGAACACCTGTAATCACGCTTTCCTTCGGCTGTAAACCTACTTGGCGATCGTGAAATGTTGCACCGCGCTGCATTTCCTGTCGACTTCATCGTCCAACGATTTTATTATCGTACACCGTGCACAAGGTACGTACACGCATACCTACACGGAAAACAAATGTGCACAAACAGAAAACGAAGCAGAAAGAAATAGAACGATATCCAGTAACAAAAACTTTTATTGAAAAACTGCGAATTCTGCGACGATAGATTTATTTTGAATGTAGACTGTTCGCAATCTTTGCTTTGAATGATAATTCTTGATGAAGAATGATAATTCGAGTAGAAATCACTTATAGAATCCATTGAAAATGAAAAATGGCTTTCCCTCTAGGTAAAAACAAATTAAAAAATTATAATTCGCTGATATTGCACAAGTTAAAAATTTAGTTAGATCATATTTTTCAAATACAAGTTCGTAGAAATATTGAAAATGATGTAGAGCTTTGTTCGACTTTGATCACACTTGTATAACAATCAAATCGTATTTTATAATATACGAGCTGCCATTCTAATCCTGTAGTAATATTAATGTTTTCGTTGTATATTAATTTAGTAATTAGCCTTCTTGTCGCTACACGTTTTATTACTTTTTATGAAACGAATTAATTGTCAATAAAATTCAACAAAAACCACTCATACCGGCGCATATTGTAACTGGGACAAAATAAAAAAGCAGATTTATTTTTTCCACATGGGTATCTGTAATGAATTTAAAATATTCTATAATGTTTTCATAGTATATTGAATTAAAAAACTGAGAAACTTGTTTACTGAAATTTAGATAAAATTTATCAATGGAATGTTTATATCGAATTTTATATTCTTATTTTTACGTTTCGACCATTTATTTTAATTCTTTTTTAATTCCTTTTATTATTTTAAAGAAATTTTTATTTTAATAAACACAATTTGTTCCCAGTTGAATTCGATTTGTCAATGTTATGTACCAGCAATCGACTCGAGGATTGCAGATCAGAAATAAACAAAATTATTTATTTATAATACACAGAGAACAAGATAAATCCCGATGTTTAATAAATTATACAATCACTTGGTTACATCACCTTCTAGATGATGAAGTGTTAATAACTATATTATGAATAACATCACACATCAAAGTCCATTATTGATATCAAGTGTCAGAGAAATGAACGGTGTGATGACTCGTATGAACAAATTCTAACAACTTGAATACGATTATTCCACTTTATCAAACTGCTCGTTAATTTAACATATCTCATGTCGACTTTGTAATTTATTTCAGACAATGTAGTAATCTCATTTAACCTATGACGCGAGAAAACTTCTTTAATTCAATCAATTTCGTCCGTGACCTCTAAAATATCTTTTTT